GGGCAGAGGCAAAGTTCTCTTTGAATAATGCCATCCACAAGGAGGCTCTGAATAATTGCTATTAATAATGACAATAATTAGAACTCTTCTAGTTGTGAGATTATTTGCTATAATATCACCAAGGAGCTTTGCCAGCCCACTACATGAGAACCATCATCTAGCTTTGAATATTATGAAGTTTAACAATTCTTCTACCTAAAAGCATATGCAGTGGTCCAGATTTTGCCACTGCCTTGGATGCTTTCCAAGATGGGCAGTTTATAAGAATTGTGGACTCATGGCATAGTGGTACATGCCTGTAATCCTTGCTACTAGAGAGTCTATGGATGGTGGGTCAGAAATTCCAAACTATAATAGGGCTAAGCCAGTCAGGTTTCCACACTAACTCACCAAGATAGTGAGCTCCCAGGAGTGAGTGGAGGGGGACAGGAGTAGAGACCCAGACTGGCTCAGAAACAGAACAAGTCAAAGTTTACGTGTCATGGGTCTGTGAGTAGCCACTGCACTTCCAGCCTAGGAGAGGTAGGGAAAAGAAAGGAAAGAGGGAGTTGGAGGGAGAGAGAAAGAGGGGAGAGAGAAGAAGGAAGAGAGAGAGAGAGAGAGAGAGAGAGACAGAAGGAGGAAGGGGGAAGAGAGAGGTCGGGAAAAGAGAGACAGACAGAAAGAGAGAGAGACAGAGACAGAGAGAGAAACCAATTGGCTTGCCCCCCTTTATTTTACAGGTGAGGAAACAGAATTTCAGAAAAGTGAAGTGAGACTCAAGGTCATACAGTGAGTCAGTGGAAAAGGTCACATCGCCTGCTTCCAAATCCATAGCTTCTTCCACTATGTGACTAGTAAAAGTCACATGAGCACTTTCAAAATACTGGGGTACTGAGCAAACAGGAATTTGTTTAATGGGGGCCTGGTGACTTGAAAGAGTTAAAGCTGCTTCCCAGGGTGCCTCACTTACAACCCAGGGAGTGGCTAAAGCAATGGGAGAATCTGGATGAACAGGTTTTCTCATGGCAGAGGGGAAATAAATCAAAGGCTGATAACCCAAGCACCAGCGAAGGAATTTACCACCCTCTGTTTGTTCTTTGTGGGAACAGTTATAGGTTCTGTCCATCTGCTCAGTGGCAGAATGGCTTTGAGTACATGAGGCTTCATAGAGAGCAAAAACCCTTTAAGATCTGCAAATCAGTAGTCCAGGTATTCTTATCTCCACTTTACAGATGAGGAAACTGAGTCTCAGAAGGCTAAATGACTTGCCCAAAGTCACCCTACTAATACTAAAGACAGGATTCAAGGCTGTTTTTCTCCCGGCTCCAAGTTCATCTCTCTTTCCACTACACCACCTGGATTTTCTCAAGCAGTCAATGAGGATTTAATTAATACCTGCTAGGTGCCAGACATTGTTCTAAGCACTGGGGATAAAAAAAAAAAAAAGGCAAAGGCCAATTCCTGCCCACAAGGGGCTCACATTCTAATGGTAGAAACAACATGCAAATGATTAGAGCAAGATGAGTGGAGCCACAGTAGTCTATGATGATCCTACTCCTATGTAAACAGACACCAGCTTTGCCATTCTATTAAATGTTGTAGTTTGAAGAGTCCTAGAATAGCTAGGTGAGTAGACATGGGCACAGCTTTAGATTAAGTGAAACACAGAAAGAGTCTAGGATGCAGAAAATAATCGTTACACTTGCAAATTTATGTTCATCCCCAACTCTTTCCTGGATGTGCTCTTCCTTTAACCCTTAACCCTTCCCTGGGGCATGATGGGAGCCAGTGTTATGGGCAGCTAGTGGATAGAGTGCTGCCCCTGGAGTCATGAAGAACTGAGTTCAAATCCGACCTCAGGCTATCTGACCTTGAGCAAGTTACTTAACCTCAGTTTGTCTGTTTCCTCAGCTCTAAAATGGGGATAATAATAGCATCCACCTCCCAGAGTTGTTGTGAGGATTAAATGAGGTCGTAACCACAAAGCGCTTAGCATACTTTCTGGCACATAAAAAGAGCTATACAAATGTCAGCTATGGTAATGATGATGACAATGAAATGAATAGTGTATGATGTGTAATTTAAGTCCTGGTTCTGACACAGAACTTGCTGTGCTTTCATGTCTCTGAGTCTCAGAATCACAGACTCTGAAGGCTGGAAGGGGGCTCAGCAGCTATCTCATCCAGCTGTATGTGAAGGAATCACGGGTACAATGTACCTGACGAGTGGTTGTCCAGCCTTTGCTTGAGGACCTCCCCTCCAAGGAGGGGAAATGCACTACAACCTTTTGAAGCAGCCTATTCCACTTTGGGACGTCCCTGATTGTCACACAATTTTTCCTGACACTGAGCCTAAATCTGTCTCATTGCAAATTCTGCTCTTTGCTCCTTATTCTACCCTCCAGGGCTGAAAAGAACAAATCTATTCATCTATTCCCTCTTCCGATATTTGGAACAGTCACCAACCCCCAATCCTCAGTCTTCTTTTCTTCAGGCTAAACATACCCATTTCCTTCAAACAATCCTACATCATAAACCCAAAGCCTTTCAGTGTCTTTAAGAGTCTTGGTTATCCTCCCCCGGACACTTGCCAGCTTATCAATGTACATAGAGCATTGATTCCTTACTTGGAGTCAGGAAAATCTAAGTTGAAATCTAGCCGCTGACTTTGTTGGCTACATGAATCTGGCAAGTCACTTAATCTTTCTGTGCCTCAGTTTCCTCATCTGTAAAAATGGGAATAATAGTACTTTTACTGTCTCTCCCACAAAGTTGTTCTGAGACATGAGGGTTTAATGTATGTCAAAGTGTTTTGTAGTAAATTACTAAATAAATATCAGCTGTCATTATATTTGGTGGTAGTAGTTGGGCAAGCAGACCACAAAGTCTTTCTGTGTTTGCTACCCTGGGTCTCTCACTGTCTAATGGAGAATGTAGATCCCAAGGTTTGAAACTGGGCCTTGCCACTTACTACAGATATTGTGTGGGTCTCAGTTTCTTTATTTGTAAAATGAGGAAGTAGATTTCATTAAAAGACCTCTAAAGTACCTTCAAGCTCCAAACCCTATGTCCAAGTTATGTCCTTACAAACCATTAGGTTAAACTTTCAGAATGGAGCAGGGTCAGATCTGAGGACATGATGGGGAATAGAGGGGACTGCCTCCAGATCATGATTGGTAATAGAGGGGGATTTTACTCTTCTTCATATGTTCTACATTCCAGCTAAACTGGCCTACTCCATTCTTCCCAGACATCCATCATGATGTCTCCATGCTTTTGTACAGACTGCCTTTCAGGCCTAGAAAGCATTCACTCCTCATGCCCTTCTTTCTGAATCCCTACCTTCCTTCTAAGTCAAACTCAATGCCACCTTCTATGAACCTTTCACTGATCCCACCACTATGTTAGTACTGTCTGCCTCTTGAAATTATCTGTATTTATGTTTGTTTATATATCGTATGCTTTAGCAAGGATATCATCTCCTCAAGGACAGGGCCTATTTCATTTTCTGTCTTTGTATCCCTGGTACCTGCCGAGTGAATCATATATGCTTAATGAATTGAACTCAATTTTAAAAGAGGTCTGGAGGCAATGAGGAAATGTCATAAATGAAGGTTGAAGGAAAAGATGGCTTGAATTTTGTGGCTGGAAAAATATCTCCCTGCCCCAGATCTTATGTAATTATTTGTAAATAATTTAAATGGGCCAACCGCATTGGGAAGACTATTTTTTGATGAATGCCATTTTTGTACTTTGCTGGTCAGATCAATAAGAAGCCTTTATGAGGACCTGAGGATCAATGATGGGCATTTCTGGCCCCTGTTAGTTTGCTGATATGGGGGAATGGCCTTCAGAATCAATCTCTACAATTTTTGAAGTTCATATTACACACTCTATTAGGTTGATGAATGAAGCACTTAAAACAATTTATTTAAAGCTTCCCTCTCTTAAAGTGGTAGAAGCCACATTCTAGCTTTGATTCTGCTTATAAGTTTTGTGATTAGGCAACACAAGAAAACCAGACTTCCCTCCCCACACCCCACCACAACCCCATCTCTGTCCCAGGAAAATCTGTTGGGTTGTCTTACACCTGGGAGCTTCTTATTTTGAATAAGATCTAATCTCCTGGTTGTTATAGGACATAAGAGTAAACTATCTAGACCTTGGTGCCTAGCAGTGGAATTACAATTAGAAAAGTACATGAACAAAAGATTGAATAAGCTCCTTGGAACCTAACAGCAACTATTCAGGGTATTTATTTAGAGGGTGATAGTGATGGAGAGGTTAGAACAGGGCCTGTGAATGTGTTCTGAGTTTGTGCCCCTGGTCCCTGATTGGCTCCTTTTCTGGTCTGGAGCCAAAATGTAACCCTTCTGGCCTTCTGTGGATATGTGTGGGTGTGGAACATTTTAGAGAGAGATAGAATACTCTCTTAGTACTTTCATTAAAAGACAATGATTGTCTCAATCATGATTCTAGAGGACTGATTATGAAGGACTCTACCCACCTTGACAAAGAGGTGATAGAATAATATGCAGAATTAGACACATTTTTGGACGTGACTAATATGGGGATTTGTATGTGTGCATGTATTGTGTGTATGCACACTTAATTATACTTGTTATAAGGTTTTACTTATTTTATTTTTCATTTTGGGGAAGAAGGGGAGGTGGAAGACAGAAAAAATGCTTGATAATTAAAATATAATTGAATTTAAAAATGAAAAACAATATTGATCATCTACTGAGCCCTGAAATACAGAGCTCCATATGGTCCCTACCCACTAATAGAAATTTGCCCTATGATCCTCAAAATCTTTTTTTTTTTTTGCATACTGGTCGTGCAGTTGAAAGCCTTGCTATCTTTCACTGACTGCTACGCTTATTAATTTTTCTTTCTCATAGGCTCTTCCGTGTGAAAGGCAAAAACATTCAAATGAGGAGGGCAGTATTTTGATTATGATTAGATACAGGTTATAAGTATAATCTAATCTTTTTGTTTGTTTGTTTTCTTTTTCAGCTCCAAGGTTCCTTGAAGAGAAAGCAAGTGGTGAACCTGTCTCCAGCCAATGCCAAAAGGCCTAATGGCATTGTGGAGAACTCCTTCCTGGATATTAAGAGAATACGAGTAGGAGAAAATCTCCCTGCAGGACAAACTGGACATCATGTCAACAATGGGCAAAGCCAGTTAATGCCTATGAGCCAGGGGCCTCTGAGGAAGGCCAACACCCTTCCAACCAGTGCCCATTCTTCTGGGAATGGTATGTATAACCTGGGACTAAAGGAGGTCAAGAAAGAACCAGGAGAGACAGTGTCTTGCAGCAAGCACTTGGATGGCCAGATGACACAGGAAAATATATTTCCCAATAGATATGGAGATGCCCCTGGGGAACAGATGATGATGGATCCAGAGCTCCAGGAGTTGTTTAATGAGCTGACAAATATATCTGTGCCTCCTATGAGCGACCTGGAGCTGGAAAATATGATCAATGCTACCATAAAGCAGGATGACCCATTTCATATTGATTTGGGCCAGCAGAACCAGAGGAGCACTCCAAGGCCCCCTTTACAGATGGAGAAGATGGTGATCAAGAGCGAATACTCCCCAGGTTTGACCCAAGCCCCTGTTGGTTCCCCTCAGCTGAGGCCTCCCTCAACAGGACCTTCCTTCTCTATGGCCAGTTCTGTCCTTTCCACTTCTTCCCCGATCCCCTCAGGACCTCCAAGCCAGAACCAGCCCCAGGCTTCCTCAGGGGCAAGTAGGCCCCTGACCAACTGGCAAGAAGTGTCTCATGCCCAACAACTCAAACAGATAGCTGCCAATCGCCAGCAGCATGTACTAATTCAGCAGCAGCAGCAGCAGCAACAACACCAGCCAAACCAGCCTTCCAGCTGGTCAGCCTTGTCCCCTGCGGTGCCTTCCCCAGGGCCATTTGGCCAGGAGAAAATTCCCAGCCCTTCTTTCCGTCAGCAACAGTTCAGCCCACAGAGCCCAGCCATCCCTGGGGTGCCGGTGAATGGCAGTCAGTCCAAAGCGATGGCCAACTACATGTACAAAGCGAGTCCCAGCACCCAGAGCAGCCACCTAGACATCCTCATGCAGCAGAAGTCTCAGGACATCAACCGAAACTTCGTGAGCAACCCTCACCCACCTTTGGAGCCGCATCACAGTAACACCAAGCCCTTGTTCCACTTTAACTCAGAACAAGCAAACCAGCAATTGCCGTCAGTTTTGGCTTCCCAAAGCAAGCCTTCTCTCCTGCATTATACCCAGCAACAGCAGCAGCCGCCGCCGCCGCCGCCGCCGCAGCAGCAGCAGCAGCCGCCGCCATCGCAACAGCAGCAGCAGCAGCAGCAGCCGCCGCCGCCGCCACTACCACCACCTCCACCACCTCCACCACCGCAGCAGCAGAGCTCAGTCGCTGCACAGCCTCCGCCGCAGCCGCCACAGCCGCAGCCGCAGCCGCAGCCACAGCAACAGGCCCCACCCACCCAAACCCTGTCCACCCAGCCTCTTCTAAGGTCATCTCTCCCACTACAGCAAAAGATCATGCTTCAGAAGATGCAGGGGCAGGCCATCTCTGGATTGCCCTATGCAGTCTCTCAACAGCACAGACCGGTAAGAGCTTTTCAAGCCAACTTTCTGAGTACAAGAGTATCTATGGGCCTTCTATGCGCCTTCTATGCGTGTAACGTTTTTGTGTGGTGCCAGGCCCAGAGCCAGAGATGACTGAGGCTTTCCTCGTTATTTAGCAGTCTGTACAAAACCCAGCCTAAGAGAAGGCACGAGGGGGTTGACAGGGAGGATATAAAAGTCGTCTTCAAATATTTGAAGGCTTGCTATGTGTGTGAGAAATGAAAGAGTTAAGTTTCCACATAAGTAGATAAGAAATTAGCACAGACAGACTAACTTCTCCGTCCAGGGGGGGGAGTGATAACACTATTCTAGGCACATAATGTATGTTAGGGGAGGGGCATATTAGGAAGATTGGAACCCAGAAGGATTAGGACCAATTCTGACCCAGAAGGGAGGAGTTAGGCAATTAATAACTATATAGTTTGCCCTGGCTTCTTTTACCCATGCATTTCTCTATTCCCACTGAAGTGCACCTGCTTCTCCCGAGAATTGAAATGACGCACTTCAACCTCTTTAATAAAAAGTCTTTGAGACACCAGACTAAGGAACTGAGTCTGGGGTCATCTTTATAACAATGTGGAAGGGCTATTAGATCTGTTCAGTGTAGCTCCTCCAGAAGGAAGAACTAACAATGGAGAGAAATTCTAGTGAAACAGACATTGGCTTAGTATAAGGAAGAACCTCCTAATAAGGTCCCTTTTAGCTCTAGCTCTATGACTTATGATACGTGTGTATACACACACACATATATTTTATGGAATTGACTACCTACAGATGCAGCAAACCCTCACTACTCATTGAGAGGCCAGACAAAGGCTGGATAACAATCAGTAGCGAATATTGTAGAGGGAATTCCTACTTTCAGTAAGGATTGGTGTTGTCAAACTCAAATGGAAATGGGGACCACTAATCTGCACACAAGAATCCCTGGAGGCTGTATATTAACTTAGTTTTCAAATGTAATGTTATCTATGTTTTATTGTATATTTATTTTTTTAAAAAGATTTTCCAATTACATTTTAAATTGGTCCATGCCCTGCTCAAGAGTGTTTCTGGCAGTCAAGCTGAATGTTTGACTTCTAGAGTAGATGACCTCTGACTCTTCCAATTTAAGCATTTTATAATCCAGCATTTAGATTTTATTTTTATAGGAGAGTATTTTTATTTATTTTCATGGGGGAGAGTAGCGAACATGAGCTCTTGCCTGTAGAGAAGATCACATAATTATTAAAAGGATGGTTGTGAGCATTTAGAAAGAGATGTGATTGTTGCTATGAGCCAGCATGATTTCATCAAGAGCAGGTTATGCCAGACTAACCTCATTTCCTTTTCTGACAGGGTTACTCATCTGGTAGATCATGGCAATGTTGCAAATAGCTACATTCCAGCCAAGCCTTGAAAACATCCTCTGTGATCTTACATTTGTGGAAAAAATATAGAGATGTGGTCTAGATGATTGTAGCCAAGTATATCTGGAATCAAGATAACTGGTGGCATTCAAAGTATAATCACTAATGGATCAGTGTCACCTGAAAGGGAAGTCTCTAGTGGAATAGGCAGCATCTGATATCCCTTCCAACTCCAAGATTCTATAAGTCACTGGTAGAAGAGGGTTTGACAAGAATACAGAACTTGGTCTCATAGGGCCTGAGTTCCAATGCTGGACCTTCCACTTACTACCAGTGAGAACAAATCACTAACCTCTCTGGCCTTGAGTCTCCACATCTGTAAAATGAGAGGATTGGACAACAGGACCTCTAAGTTACCTTTTAGCCTAGAATGATCAGAATTTAGATCATTAATAAAAAGATTCTGTTATGCAACAAGCTCTAGTACAGACTTTATAAGATAATAGTGCCCTAACGTAGGCATTGTTAAAGGAATTTTATTCTACTGCCTACAGTGTACAATAAGAATTTAAGTAAGAATTGACATACAAAGGAACTCTTAAGTAGAAACTCTGCCTGGGGGGAATATGTTTGAGTTCTGTCCTGGGCATTTAATTTGTCAGGTCCACCGCTGGCCTACAAACTTTGCAGAAAGAATATAATGTCTTCACAGCCTAACTTAAATGTATTTACTGTGTCAATCAGTCAGTCAATATGAGTTTTTATTATGTGTCTTCTGGGTGCTTAGCACTGTGCTTGGCACCAAGGATATATTCAAAGAATGAAACAATCCCTTCTCTCAAAGTGATTACATTCTAACATCACACTGCCTTTAACATACACAGTGCTGAAGAAAAATTTCTTTCTCCCATCTGAAGAAACCTAGCATGTATATAGACCTTTAAGGATATAAAGTGCTTTACAGGTGTTCCACAAGCAGCATTAATGTGTTAGGTTCAAGTGATCTGTCCATACCACTTCCTTTTGAAACTTCATGTCTATTCTAATCACCCCTACTCCTCTTCAGGCCCATTCTAGCCCTATTCATCAATCTCTATCCAAAGTGTCCTCTGTAGCTACTGTACACAGAATTATAAAGTAAGTTAAGTTTGCTTTTGGTGCAGATCTACTCAGTTTTTTAGCAGTTCCCCTCCTTGCCACCAAAGTGCTCTTTTTCTAGCCCCTTTATGTGTATTACCCTTCCAGGAAGCAACCTTTTCCTTCAGGAACCCATGATGCAATGAAAAGTATGTGGGATTTGAAGTCAGAGGACCTGGATTCAAATCCCACCTCTGCCACTGACCTGTATGATAATAGGCTAGTCACTTAATCTCTCTGGGCCTTGATTTTCTTATCTATAAAATTAGGGGATTGGGTTCCATGACCTTGAAGGTCCCTTCCAGCTCTAGATCTATGTTATCAGGTTATTTGGCAGTGTTTATGAATTAATGAGATAAGTAAACACGTGCTACTCCATTTGTCAGCTAATGTGTTACTGTTCCCAGGTAGTATGGTGCCAAAACACAATTGCATTCCACAATTCCTTAAGCATGCTCTTAATTGAAAAAGTGTGAGAAAGGTGGGCATTGGTGGGCATCATGGCAGGTCATTTGTAGAAATACTTGTAATTGAGGTAAGGGAATACTAGGGAATTGACACCTCTCAAACCATACCCTAGAGGCATATCCATACTTCCCTTTGCTTAAGGGGGATTGGACCAGATGAATGGATGACTAAAAATATCATTTATTAAGTGTTTACTATGTGGCAGGCTCTGTCCTAAGTGCTGGAGCTAAAAATATAAAAGTGAGACAGTACCTACCCCAAAGGCAAGACAACACATATAATGGGATATTATATGTGGAAGTGAACTTTGGCCTGAGGAGTCTCACGAATAGTGAATCCACAGGCCAAAAGGAAGGGTAGTGTTGATTTAATTACTGTACTCAGATCAAGACATGGAAAAGAGGGCAGGGTGTTTATGCAGGATGACAGAGAAGATGACAAAATGGCCAGAATAAACAACTGAATGAGATGTCTGGTCAGGTCGGGGGCTGCTAGATGAGTTTGTATTCATTCATCAATGAAGACATCTCAGTCCAATGGCAGGAATTCCAAAGCTGAGTCAATTCACTTCTCCAGGGATTTCAGGCATGGTTTCTAGAGGTATTGTTGGAACGGTGTTATTGGATCTGGGTTGGGTCAGAGAAAGGTAATGGTAGTGATAGAAGGAGGGAAATGGCAAGATGCGGTGACAGCTGGGTGGTATCTGAAAACCATCTCCTGAGTCCCCTCCCACTTCTCTAATTTTGTGAAGTGTCACCAGACATTTCAAATCCAAGTGAGTTCCGTCCCCTTCAGAGTTGTCACTTTGGGAGGCTATTGCTTGAATTCTGTTTGGAATTTTGTTTTGGGAGCTGTTCTAGGGCCTATGACACATTCTTTTGAATATGGTCAATAGTGATCATCTTTCATCCTTGTGAGGTGGGTTTGGTTTTGGAAGCAAGCAAGTCTGGTGAAGGCTGTCAAGTTGGGGGAAAGTGTACCCATCAAGGACCAAAATGAGGCAAAGATGATAATCAAGGACATGTTATTACATGACTCTGCACTGTTTCTGAAGGTCCAAAGGTCCACATGAAAGCTTTCACACATCAAGACTTTGAAACAGACATAACTTCACCTGCACAGACTGCAATCCCTTAATAGCCTTCATGAGTTTCTAGAACCAAAAATAAATCACCACTTAACAGGCAATCTTCTAATGAAAACTTTTTCAGAATTTAAACTGGTCTGTGGATGACAGATATGGCCATGTTAGTTGTCAAAGCCTCTCTGCTCTAGTAGGACCTAACCGAAAGATTTTGTTTTCCACTTTAAGAGCCTTGAAATCCTAGTCACCACCATGCCACAACGAAGCCTCAGAATAGGATTTTAGGCAGAAGACTCTGATACTCAAGTCAGCAAACATTTATTAAGTACCTATTGTGTTCCAGGCACTATGCTAAACACTGAGGATACAAAGAAAGGCAAAAACATTTCCTGCCCTCAAGGGGTTCACACTCTAAAGAGGGAACCAACATGCAAACAACCAGGTACAAACAAGATGTGTACAGGATCAATTGGAAGCACTCTCAAATAGAAGGAACTAATACTAAGGGGGACTTGCCCAAGGGTAGATTTTAACTGAAACTTGAGAAAAGCCAGAAAACTTAAGAGGTGGAGACAAAAAGAGAGCTTGTTCTGGGCATAGGGAACAGCCAGTGAAAATACATAGTCTAGAATTGGAGTTTCTTGTTCAACAAACAGCAAGGAGTCTGATGTCACTGAATGGCAGAGTAGATGGAAGGTTGAGTGAAAGAAGCCTAGAAAGGTAGGAAGTGCTTTAAAGTTTAAGCAGAAGATTTTATGTATGATCCTTGATGTAACAGGAACTAATGGAATTTATTGAATTGGGGGGGAAGGTCACATGGGTCAGACCTGAACTTTAAGAAGATCACTTTGGCAGCTAAGTAGATGGTGAACTGGAGTGGGGAGAGACTTGAGGCAGGCAGATCAACAAGAAAACTATTGCAATAATCCAGGGCCTGGACAGGG